TGCATGCTGGTGGAACGGTTCAGTCACTTCCTTCGAGGTTTCATGATCCTGTGGTACTTCTATGTTTTCAGCTTGAGACTGATAGAGTGTGGAGAGAACTTCAGAACGGGGGACTTCGATTGTGGAACCGTCAGTACGTGGATTACTTCTTTCACATCACTGGAAGCTACAACTTCAGTGAGCTCGAAAAATCCACTATGCGCTGTTTCGGTTTGCCACGGTTTGCTTCTATGACTCTGGCTACTGCACTCTTCTCTGTGTGTCCACAACATCAGTCACTTCACCCAAGGACTCATCACTTCCGTTTCATGCACCTCTACCTTGGAAGAGGATGGAACTTCACCCTTGCACGAGAAGAAGACTGGTTAGTTGACCAACTTCTAGTGTTGAGGTCCAGAAGGGCAAAGTTGTAGACTTCAGGACAGTCGTGTTTCACTTCAGCCATTTTGGCAAGACAAGTTTTGCAAGACTTCAGAATTCATTTTCAGATCTCAACTTCTTTTGCTGCAATTTGTGATGATGACAACTTCATGCAGCTGACCTCAATGACGCTCAGCTTGGCATAGCTCACTTCCATCTTGCTCTAGCTTAATCCCTGGTACTTCGTACAGGCACGAATCACACTTCATAGTACGCAGGGTCTGAATTTAAGACTTCTTGATGAAGCATTTTCAACTTCAGGTGTGAACTGATGCAATGGTGCATCACTTCAAGGGAGCGTGTCAAGATACACGTACTTCCACACACCTATGCACAGTACTTCACACTTCTTACTTTGGCTCAAGAAGAGGAAAGAGGACTTCAGCTGCTCAGAGTGAACTTCAGGGTTGAGCCTGGTGAATACTTCAGGTTGTGACTTCTTGTTTGGTCAGTAACTGACACTTCTGGATTTTCTCATAGGGTGGTGCGAAAGGGGCCATCAGAAGTGTCGATAACAGGATATGGAACATCCTGCTGCACCGGATCCACATGCCCTCTGGGAGGGTACTAGTACTAGCATCGAACACATCGCCCTGACTGACTTGGGTTGCAGCGGATCCACGGGATGGCGGATGATGGCGGCATTGCAATCTTTAGAGGACTCTTCTAAGTTGACCGGCTTCCGGATCCTCCAAAATGTCTCAAAACCTGAAGCAACCCCTTATAAGGCCCTAGCTAGGCTTCGAAGCAATACCTCAATCTGAAGGTCCGAAAATGGGCTCCAACAAAGACTTGTAAGTGTCAGATCCGAGCAGCTGTCTGCGCATCAAACTGTTCATCCTTGGCTCCGATCTCCGCCGCCTCGACGATCTCCGACGCCATGGCCATTGCCTCGGCCTCCGCGGCCTGCGCCGCGGCGGCCAGGTAGGCGTCGGCCTCGGGGGCTTCGGCGAAGATGGCGCCCAGCATCTCCGGTCCTTGGAGGGCCGAATTGCGACTGAAGCGCCATCTTCGGAAAGACACCTGACCAAAGCGACACAGACGCCTGTCTTATGAGCCTAAGTCGAGTCTTCCTGAGAAGAGAATCTTAGCGCATCTCAGGCCTGAGTCTAGAATGCATCCCAAAATCGATTGAAACAACATAACAAAACAAAACTATCAAATCCCCAGCCACCTCAATTCTTTGGTCCTTCCACAGGTCAAAACCCCTCCCGATGTTCCCACCGGGTCACGCATCTCATCACTGAGCAACGGCTGGACCTCAGGCCACTCACTCACCACCCCGGCCGTGTCCAGCCCTCTGCTCACATCACCTCCGGGACCGGCATCGCCGCGTGCTCCGTCGTCCGGTGGGTCCAACATCCAGCGCAGTGGGCCGACATGGTCCGCGGACATCTCCAAACACTCAGACAGCCTCGGGTGTTCTTCGCGTCGTGCGCGTCGGCGTGATGCTGTTTCACGGAGAGGGAGGGGAGTCCGAAAGTTCGGAATGGCAAATGTGGCAAATGTATACCAACGTACGTCTGACTGTGTTAGTGGGAGTATGAACAATTATTGTTTATAGTACTGTGTCGATCTAACTTATATTCATACTCCCCAAACACAGTCAAGCAATCATCTCATCAGCTTGTCAAGAAGCTCCTCGGCATAGGTTGTTAGCATCTTGCGCGCGGAAATGACCTGGCTCTTTGAGATGGTGCCCTCCGGTTGGGAGAAAAAGGGTGAAAAGCTCAGTGCTGAGCCCACAAAAGAACTGAGGTCTTGATTCCTGCATCCGAAAACACATATCATAGGTCAAATTGATCGAACACGTGCGCACACGAAAACACAAACCGGTTGGACCATGAGTCAATGAATGACACCTTCTGGGGTGGGTGGGTGACGGATTGAGCTCGGTTCCACCGCTCCAAACCCTCAGCTTCGGGTCCCACGGCTCAACAGCGCCTCAACATGAGCTTCTGTGAGCTCCGTGTTCAAGTCCATGCCCAGCACATGTCCGGGCATCGGAAGTCGCCGAAGACGCCGTTTCGGGGTTCTTTTCAGCTCGGGCTCCGCGAGCTCCAGCGCCGACCTTGGGGAAGTTGCGGGGAGTTTTTGAATTGTTTTTTTTTTTTTTTTTCGGTGGACTTAGACCAAGCGAGCTTGTCAGTTGAACCTGCCCAACAGAGCAGAAGAGGGAACAAATGGTTAAACAAAAACAACATAAAAAAAAAACAACAACACTCGAATTCTGATGTTCAATCTCACGTGACCCTGGCGGTACAGCATGAAGATCCACAGCCACCTCCCCCTGTGGCATTTGTCCATCCTGCGCCTCCACCTGCGCAGGCTGCGCAGGCTGCGCGGGCATCGGCGCGGGCATCGGCTGCTCTGGGAAGGAGTTGGTCACCAGCAGTGAGGCTGCGGCTTCGTCCAGTGCCAGTGATGGCATGGCCACCCACTCTGAGCTGTCTGGCTCTGGGAGGCGCTCCACCTGATAAGCTGAACAAACACAACGATGGCATACAATGAGGGAAGAACATGATTGTTTTACGATGCGATGTTTCATAGAAATGGGATTGATGTCCAATATAGGTCTATATAGGGGCCGTTGATTTCTTGAATAAGATGCTACAAGTATAAGCGGCTTTGTCTTAAAGATGTCCATCACAAAGGATCTGGAGTCACACTCGCACCTCCAAAGTCAGCATCTCCATGGGAGCGCCTGAAGTCCAATCAAAGGCCTCTGCTTCCTTGACGCGAGTCAGGTCCAAGGTCAATGCATCCACCCGCTGCCTCTTGCCCGCGGGCAACTTCAACGCCTGATCCAAGTAGGGCTGTTGGGCAAAGAGCAAGACCATTCGCTCACAGTCGCTGTGCAAGACTTTGGCCCGGTCATTGTTAATCACGCCTGCATGTTGACGGAAGAGGTGAGCGTTGCTTAAAACCTATCCAGAATGTGTTCTAATCGGTGGTTCTTTCGCAGTTTTCTTTCGCAACACTTTCGCGACCTGTGTTTTTGCTTTCGCGTGCCTTATGTTGTGCAACACCACTTTCGCAAGCTTTTGCGGACAAAGCTGATTCACAGGAACCGCAAGATGTTTACCAAAGCATCTAAGCCAAGAACACGTAGTTCTTTTCTAGTCCTTCAAACGGACATGGAACGAGATCTACAAAGCGAAGGACCTCATGGAAGCTACGGAAAAGATCAGACGCGGCATAATTGGGTTGTTACAACTATCATGCTATCCAATTTTAAGAACATATGGGGGGGAAGTCTTTCCGAAGCAGCCCGAGCTTTCGCGGATCTTTCGCGATTTTTTCGCGGATCTTCGGGACGGTTTTTCTGGAAAAGGGACGGTTATTCATTCAAGAACAAAAGGTTACAAGTTGAGCCTTCTAAACTCTGCGAGCAATCGGCGCTTTCATTCAAGTCAATCCAAAAAACATCACACATGAATGTCTACACTACACATTCATGTCATATCTAATACTAAGAAAGAAGCTTTCGCGAGCTTTCGCGCATGAAATCTTCGCAGAATCTGTTGCGACTGTGTGTTTACCTTTCGCAAAGGCATCTTACATTAACATCTCTTCTAATTGTTACTTGGGAGGTTGTGGCCGCTGCTCAGGTGAAACCCTGGGAAAAGGTGCAAAGAGTTGACCAAATCCAAAGAATTATGACTCATAATACATATCCATCGTCCAGAAGGTGTCAAAATGTTTCAAGAGTATATCCAATGCCCATCTGAGATGCAAAAGCCCTTGATCATGGTCCCATAGACTCGCAAGCTCAATGCCTTTCCTGTCTGAGGTCCAAAATCGGACAGGAGCCGCCGTACACGCTCCTGCACGTTTAAGTCGATCTGACGCTTCCTAGCCCGAACAGCTGACGTGGCCGCAATCCATGCATCCTGCCACACATCTTGATGGATGCCAAAATTCACCTCCATGACTGTGTGGCGGAAAGGTTTGGCTCGATGGCAAGCTCAGCAGGTGGCGCAACAACTGAGCAAGAAGCAAGCAAAACAACAACAGATCGCACATCAAGATGAATCATATACTACGGGACCTGTTTTTGTTTTTCTTCTGACGAGTCTGATCTGGTATCTCGATCACCATCTCTGCGTTCCTGTCCAAGCCATCGAGCCGAAATCTGCAGATCGGCGCGATCGAGCAGTCTGAGCTGTTCGGAGCATGGAAGCGGTCCCATCGTGCGAGGTTGTTGAAGCAGTCCCATGAATCCCAAATTGCCACCGAATCAGCTGATATCTATACTTGAGGCCAGAGGGGGTGAACGAAAGCTAGCCAGGGGGTGAACGAGAGTCTGGTCGTCAGGGATGGGCGCTGCTGCGCTGGGTGCTCTGCTGGCGCCGGGTCGTCTGCTGCTGCTGCTGCTGGCGCTGGGTGGTCTGCTGCTGCTGCTGCGGCGGTGGGTGCTCTGCTGCTGCTGCTGCGGCGCTGCTGCAGCACACCAAGCATCTGCAGTCTACCACCAAGCAGCTGCAGCAAACCACAAAGGAGCAGCAGCAGCAGAAGCAGCAGACCCAGAGCAGCAGCAGCAGCAGCAGCAGCAGACCACCCAGCGCCAGCAGCAGCAGCAGACGACCCGGCGCCAGCAGAGCACCCAGCACAGCAGCGCCCAGCGCAGCAGCAGCAGCAGCACCAGCAGCAGCAGCAGCAGCAGACCACCCAGCGGCAGCAGCAGCAGCAGCAGCAGCATCCCAACCGCGCGCAGGCAGGAGTCGGACCGCGGGGGGGGGGGGTCCATAAGATTGATTTAATCAATTATTTGAGGTTTCTGAGGTGCGTCCACCCCGTCACTTAACTTGCTAAAGCAAGAGCAACTCCAGCTAGCTAAGGCTAGCTTTCGTGATTATCAGTCCTATATAAATATATAGACTTATCAGTCCTATATATCAGCTGATATCTATATATATATACTGTATTTAATCTATCGATCTATCAGTCCTGCTCAGTAAAAAGCCGGTACCCTCCTGCATCGCCTCCATCGTGTCCAACGAGCAGACCCCCAACGAGCACGTCTCTGGCCTTCGCCCTGTTGCGGTCGGCGTCCACGGGCGTCCGGACACGGGCTGTGCTTCGCCATGTTCACCTGTCGAGGGCCGTCCACAGGCACCACGGATGCTCTAACTCGACGGTGAACGCGCTCTCAACACGGAGGGGTGTTCTTCGGTTGGGAGGGGGGTTCTTTGGGTTCTCCCACCTTGAAATACTCTATGGATCCACTGCCACCTTCTCAGAAGGTATTTGGGCCCTCCTGGCGCCTACTTCAATATACTGCAATAGTCTCCAATCACCTTCTCAGAAGGTATGTCGATCGACCTTGCAATAGGGTGAAATAGGGACAATCATTGGACTGTCACTGTGGCGGGGACAGGAGATATCCTGATTGCTCAACATTCAACCAGAACCAGGTACTTCAGAAACCAAGGACATATACTGCATCACTATAGAGATGCCTTGGATACCCGATCGGCTGTAGGCTCAGGTGGTTGCCACGTGTTCCACATTGAATCTGACACTTATCTGGAGGATAAAATGACACATTGCATACTATAGACACAGTACATATGATGTAAACATGCCTGTATGATAGCAGGTCAACCAAGTGCACTGTCTGCAAGCTACTTGAACCAACAAACTGAGATTTACACTCCTAAACTCGTATCCCAAGCCCGCTCAGAGGAAACATGATATTGCATCAATGACTAAAATCGTACCCATACCCAGAGTCAGGGTACCCTTGAGTCACCCCGTACCCAAAGAGAAACCAAACGATGTCCGACCGACTGACCTCCGTGCTAGGGAGGGGTGCGCGAGGGAAGAGCTGAAACAGCTGCAGTGCGTGGACCGGTGGAGCGATAGGATCGAAGTTCCAAACTGGATATAGTTAGTTGATCTTGAATCCCTAGTCTATACTATATACCTTCCAATCTCACTGGCATCTCGGTATGCTGAGGCACATGCTTCTGCACTGCAATATCTTTTGGCGCTCCAAGAAGCATCGTGCAAAATCATTGAACAAGGCTTCTGACTGGACAACATGTGGGTTGAGAATGGGGACCTCCTAACCAATGGGTTTTGGATGGTTTTGGTCTATTTTGCATTTTCGAGGGGGTCTTTTTTTCGTGGTCTCCAGGTTGTAATACTCATGTAACTACTCCTGTATCCAACTCAAAGGCCCCGTTGCCGTTGACGTCACCCGTTGCCGTTCCACGGCGCCCCCCGTTGCCGAGTCCGTATTCACCAGGAAGGTGGGAGAACGACCTGGGAGGACCCAGCGATGCACGTCGACGGCGGGTGGGGTGGTTTGGGCCGCCGCTTTGGGATGCCAAACGGTCGGGGCGTTTTGGGCCGCCAAAACAACAGGTCAATGGTGAAGTGCCGCCCTGCCTGGGCACTGAAGAGTGAGGGTCCTGGAATGTCCTGGATGTGTGAAACTTGCTGTTGAACACACCCTGTGGAAACACATACCTTCTGACAAGGTGATTGGAGACTATTGAAGTAGGCGCCAGGAGGGCCCAAATACCTTCTGAGAAGGTGGCAGTGGATCCATAGGGATATATATATATATATATGTGATTTTTGGACGGCTCTTTTCAAACAACTATTGCCTGCTTGTTGTTCACTACGGTTCACTGAGTTTTTCTTTCCAACCTAAGTTTTCCACTGAGAAGCTGTTTGGATCAACAAAAAACAGCAATGGTGGATGTCCAAGGCTCTTGGGTTTTCTATGCCCAGTGTCATCAAATGGACTGCCACATCGAAATCGATGCACTGTCATGCTGAAAACAGGGGATTGTACCAAAGAAAACAGTGAATATCAGGGGTTCAACGGACCAGGAGCAGCCCCAAACAAAAAACATGTCACGACACGTATTATATTGTAGATTATATTTATAATAGTAATTCATCCGCGCAAAAAAACATCAACGATAGGTTTTCAGGTTCATTTATATAGTCTGCTGTGTGGCGCTGGAGTTTTTTTGTTGGGAAGGATAAGGGCTATAGGTTGTATCTCCATCGCACCCCAGAACCAACAAACAAACAGTAGACCAAGACAAACACTATGTCATTCTGGATCTTTTAAAGCTCCAAACGAAACCCACAAAAGACTCCATAATGGAGTGTTGTAAGTTGTTGTTCTCACGTTAGAAACAATTCTAAGACTCAATTCAGGTATAGTCGTAGTGCAACAATACTGGCAGTTGGTCCAAGCGACCGAAGGAGCGTTGCATCGCCATGTTCGGGTTTTCCACCTGCACAACGATCCGTGGATGCACGAGCTGAGGTTGAGTGATGTACAGTATATGTCTGATTCTAAACGGCAGAACGACGAAAACCCCCAAACAGTCCCTGAGAGTCCAGTCATGACTCAGTTACCCCGGCGACTCAGTTACCCCGGCCACTCCCAGGGGAGGTAAAACGAGTCAAAACAGAAGTTCTGGGCGCGTAAGGTGCGAACATTGTCAAACACTTCAGGATCTCTTCCAGTTAAGCTGAGTCAAACCACCGCGGTGGCCGCCCTGAGGGATCTGCGGGTTGGCACCGGTCCTCTTTGTGGTTACAACGATCCCGCTCGCCCAGCGCAGTCAATGGCTGTCACTCATTCTCATGATTCATGATGATGATTGATGATCCACTGCTCCAGCCATTCTCATCAGATGATCATCAGCCTCATTCTCAGGATTCATTCATTCTCATGATGATGATGATGATGATGATGATCCATTGCTCCAGCCATGGTCCAGCTATGGATCTGATCGAGAGACATCACTGCAGGTAGTGAATGGACCCAGGACAACCTCTGTGACGGGGTTGTTCCTGGATTGACTGCTATGTATGCCTCGTATGTAGGTACCAGGATTCACTGCTTGCCATTCATCAACACGAGCCAATCGATCCATTCATACTCACTCATCAACAATCAAACAATTCCCAAGATCAAGATGATGGCATTGACATCTAGAGTCTAGAGATGCCAATCAAACAATTCCAACATACTCATCCACAATAAAACAATTCCCAAGATCTCCAGATGACATCTCTAGATGCCGTCAAATGACATACATCACCCCCATCCCTCGACCGGTGCCACACGTGCTCCCCGGTGGCCGGTGCACACTTTTGCCCACGTGTCCCATCCCGCAAACCCGTGGCGTCTCTGTGCAGATCGGATGATTCGATGACTGAGACCTGCTGGGTGCACTGAGTGCCGTACTTTCTTTTCGGGAAACATGCTGGGACTAGAAGATGCTGTGGCGCATATGGAAATGGACAAGTGGAAAACACCGTAGTTTTGATTCTGGGAAGGCTACACGAAAACACACGATGTCTGATGAGTTTTTGGTTCCGATCTGCAACTCTTTAAATGCATAATTCTGTATCGCTGAAAACAATACTCGAAAAGCGCCTGGCTTCACTTGCTGGGTTGCGACGACCCCGAATTCCAACTTCCGGGTAGAGGAGTTGAAGGGGAACAGCTGAACAATAGCCTAGTCAAATATCGTTTGTACATGTTTGTCCATACCCAATCGGTCCGAACAATGAGAGGGTTGAGAGAGAGAGAGAGGGACAAATCAACGAAAGAGGAAACAACCAATGAAAAACAACCAACCAACCAAACAAACAAACAAACAGGACAAGGAAAACCACCTACCCCTTCATGGCTGAAGATGCCGAGAGGAACACCTTGGGTAGGGCAACCAACCCGCAACCCTTCCGTCCATCAAGCCCCATGATGTGTGGAAGGCATAAACATAGTACACTGCTAAATAGATCTAGACACATATAGTATATATATAATTATTACTACTTTTATATATATAGTTTATATGCAACCCAAACAGAAATCCTCGAACAAGGCCCGTGGTTTGGTGATGTTTAGTGGATGGAAGATGGCCCCCAAAGTAACATGATCTAAGTCCGA